AGTTTCCCAGGAGCAGAGATTGAAGAACTGTCGTCGAGAGATCGCTGCAAATTTCTTCTTTATCTGTTTTCCATGTTTCTCTTTATTGATTTGAACTCGTTTGTTGTTATGTATTGCGAGTAATCGTTTAACTGTAGCTAGGGATTTAACCTTGTAGGGATTTGTTTGGTTTTTATTTTCCGAGACTACATTATCGATACTCGTCGGTTTGATTGAATTGAGTTTATTGCTTTTAATCTTCTTGACCAGTTGATTGATTGATTTTAGATTCTGATTTGCAACGAAAGTTGTGATTAGATTCGGAAACAATTCATTGAATGAATTGATTAAGACTATTGAGAGATAGGTTAATCAATTTAGGAACCGTGATAGTGTTTGTTAATGCATTTGATATTTTAATCTATTAGGTTGAGAGATCGATAGGTTAAATTATTGGATAGTGGATTTAGGACTTGAAAGAGCCAAATCTGATATTAGAACTTGAGATCCCCGATTAGAGTTCGATATTCGTAGATTTTCCATCCTTAGAAACAATCACTTCGCATTAAGGTTATCCCGAAACTACGATGGTTTAGTTATCTGATTTTACTTAGTTTGTTTATTGTTTTATTTCCGATATTCATATACTTCATCTGCTATTTCCTGATCTGATTCTTAGTTGAGTCTTGTTCTTGGAGTTAACTATTCCCTGTGTTCGACCCTTGTACTACAGTTGATCCGTATCTTTGCAGTATTCGTTGTATCTATGTTTTTATTACTTGAGCTTATTTATACACCTAGATTTGCGTTATTAAGTTTTTGGCATCGTTGTCGGGGAATAGTTTAGCGCTAGGATAAAGATTCCTTTGAATTTAGATCCTTTTTTCTTTTTGTTTTTCCTCGATCTCTTGATCTATTTTTTGTGTTTGTTCTATTTTCTGGTGTGCAGGTTTCCCGGTGTATGACCAGAAGTTTTGGGTTTGACAACCTAGTACCTCTTGATCCTGAAATCAATAAGTTCGTTAAGTGCAATCGAAAGAAGAAACGACAACAGAGAAAGATGGAGGAACGTGCTATAATTGCTGAGAATAACAATGACACTTATGGGACATACCTTCAACCTAAGTACATTCAGCAGCTTTCATGCATTCGCACTACAAAAAAAATGGTCATTTCCAACGGGTAAATCCGTTGGAAATGGCCAAATTTTCGTTGGAAATTAACGTTTCCAACGGATTTATCCGTTGGAATTTCGTCGTTAGAAATCGGTGTCCGTTGGAAAACCGTTGGAATTTTCAATGGAATTTCAACGAATTTTTCCGTTGGAATTTTCCAACGGATTTCCAACCGGCATCCGTTGGAATTTTCCAACGGAATTTCCAACCGATATCCGTTGGAATTTTCCAACCGATATCCGTTGGAATTTTCCAACCGATATCCGTTGGAATTTTCCAACCGATATCCGTTGGAATTTTCCAACCGATATCCGTTGGAATTTTCCAACGGAATTTTCAACTGCATTCCGTTGGAATTTTCCAACGAAAAATTCGAAACATATTCCGGACCTGACCCCGACCCTGACCCCGACCCACCCCACCCCACCCCGACCCCGACCCCGACCCCGACCCGCCCCCGACTATATATATACTTATTCATATACATATATGTATATATATACACACATCATATTTGTATATATAAAAATATATAAACACAAAATATATCTATATTTATACATATATAGATTTATAAATATATAAAATATTTGTTTATACGTATATATACATCTCCTTAATATATATATATATACGCATATATGTATATATATATATTCGAATTCATATAAATATATATATTAGTGTTATATATATATGGTTAATATATATATATATATATATGCTTATTCGTATACATATATGTGTATATATATACATCATATTTGTACAAACATCCGTTGGAACTCCGTTAAAAATTTGCAACCGATTTTTCCAACGTTAATCCGTTTAAAATTTCCAACGGATATCCGTTGGAAATACCGTTGGAAATTTCCAACCCAATTTTTCAATTGAATACGTTGAAAATTCCGTTAAAAATTTTCAACGGGTGTTTCCAACGGATACCCGTTGGAAATTTTCAACGGAATTTTAACGGAAATCGTCGTTGAAACGCCGTTGAAAACCGTTGAAAATCCGGACAAATCCGTTGGAAAATCCGTTGGAATTCGAGAATTTTTTTGTAGTGTCGTCGGCCTAACATCGACCGTAACAATTTTGAGTTTCAACCGGCATTCATCAATATGCTGAGCTCATCAGCGACAAATCCGTTGGAAAATCCGTTGGAATTCGAGAATTTTTTTGTAGTGTCGTCGGCCTAACATCGACCGTAACAATTTTGAGTTTCAACCGGCATTCATCAATATGCTGAGCTCATCAGCTTTCAGGGACAGACCTAATGAAGACCCGATCCCTCACTTGACTCGATTCAAGCTACTATGTCAGTCGGTGAGGACAATCTGCGGAGTTACCGATGAGTCTCTCATGCTCATGACATTTCCATTCTCCTTAATGGATGCTACTCTGGAATGGCTCTACACACTACCTCCAGATTCCATCTTCTTATGGGAACAGATACAAGAAAAGTTCATGCAGCGGTTCTTCCCTACTAGCAAGACCCAGCTCGCGAAACAACAGATTAACTCGTTTTTGCAGGAACCTGATGAATCTTTGCGTGAAGCTTGGGATCACTTTCAAGGATACCAGAGAACATGTCCTCACCATGGATGGATTAAAAGATACCTTATTTCCACTTTCTTGGAGGGATTAAAGGAGGACACTCGAGTTCTTATTCGAGTAGCATGTGGAGGAAGCCTCAACGAAAAGTCATTCGACTTCATAGAGCAACAAATCAACAAGATGGCCAACGAGTGTGCTCCCTCTCACGAGTTTATCAGAAACGTTAGTCTCAAAAACAGTCGTGCAAGTAAGGAAAGTCTATCTGAAATTCAGACATTACGTGCAAAATTGGCAAAACTTAAAATGCAGGTTGAGAATGCCCATCAGATCTCAGACTTAGACACATCAGCCAACGGGTACATGATCGAAGATGTCTACTACGTAGATAACAACCTGTACTCGAATGTGTACAATTCGGGATGGAAGAATCATCCAAACTTCTCGTACAAGAATTCTTCCAACGTCTTGAATACTCCCCACGAAAATTTTGGTGGTCTGTCTAATCAGGGTCTTTCTCAAGGACATTAACCTGGACGCTCCATTCCCACCAACAGACCGGTTACTTGCATCAATCAGACCACAATTCACAGCTCTACATCGCGTATCTTCAGAGCGACCCGAATATTCTTCATGGTATGGTCTCCACTTCGGTCCTGGACAACGACAACAACAACAGCGGAAGTTACAACACGGGTGGGTTTCTTGAGAATAACGGCATTGGGGTCGGATCAAGTTCAACCATTGTTAAGGCCGATTATGATATGCCTTCTGGTGGTGGAGAATGGTCAGGAGAATCGGTTCAAGGGTCGAATCTTTTCACCATGTGGAGTGACTGAAGAGCTATTTTAATTATTGCTGATTTATTTTTAGACGGCGACATTTTGTGGTTATTGTTCTTGAGGGTTAGGGTTTATGGGTACTAAAATAAGAACAAAAGAGTACCCAAGTTTTGTTTACAACTCTCCTTTACTAATTCCCCGTTTATAAAGATTTATGACTTCTCTATTTGTGTTTCTTTTTATTTGTACATGTTATATAGTCCGTCCTTATGCACATGGGGTAACATTTTACAAACACAATTAAGGTGCTCATATTCATATATATGCTAATATATTCAATTTTTATCATGTTTATAAATCATTTAAAATTTTGTGAGGATATTTTTACCGTTTTTATGTTAATATAGATTAAAATTTTCATTATCCAATATAATGTCATTTTTTATTTTGATAACAAATATTTTAGTGGCTCAACAGTAAAACCATTTACTTGGGTTGGTTCTTTATAACAAATATTTTAGTCAAATTGTTTGTAATATTTAAACCATTAAGGCTAAACTTTATTAAACAGCCATCCGTAAACAGTTCAAACATTTTGGTAAACACGAATAGTAGATTCGATTCATCAAGAAAGACAATGTGTGTATATATAGACGTCGCCACTACTTTTGGCAAAAAAAAAAGACTTTACGTTGCTTTGAAAATGGACGAGAAAGAAGCCTTAAAAGATAGGTCTCAAATGTTGTATAAGACTATAATAACATGTCTCGCGTGATGACTATTTTGGTTATTAACTGAACAAACAAATCAAATCGAACCAAATAAGATATAAACCGAACAAATTTCTAGAATATTTTGAGGTTCTGAATATGTGTTTGGAAAGAAAAATTGTGCTATATGAATATGAATGTCCAAAATGTTTTTCTCATCTTCTTCACTTTTCCGTTTCTTCTCTGCAGTTTCTTAAAACACCTAAGTTTTCCCGGAGATAATGGACAATTGATTTTTATGAGTTGATAATGAAGCTGTTTTTTTTATAAAACTGTAAAAATAATGAAGTTGTTTTCTGAATTTATAACGAGCTTCTAACAAAAACAACACCCACACGAGACGAATACTAACAGTTGCCCTCGTCCTCACCTTCGTTTTCACCATGCAATATCCGCTAATACACGAAGATTTAGGATACCCGCAGAATATAAAAGCTTCGACACATTTTGGAACCCTTGAACACTAATTATTATGCGGCCTACTTCCTCCATCATGGGCTACAAAGTTCAACAATGACACAATTCATGTTGTGTAGTTCGTTGAAGAAACCATTTCACGAAATGGTTTAACAGAAAAGTATAAGCTCCTTTCTGATCAGATTGCAGATTCCGACCCGCGAAGAAAGCCCAGGTTTTGACAGACATGCAAATGTTTTAGGGTTTGATATTAACTTGACAGAGAAGTTTTCTGTTAACCAATGAAACCCCGTCAAAGATTTTTGCCATGTAGAAGAAGAAACTGACACACGCTATCAAAGCATATAATTTACCAGACAGCCTAAAACCAGACTTCAAAGACAGAGATATTCATCAGCAAACAGAGTCATGGCTCGGTTCCAAGGATGGAAATGTCTTCCTGATTGAATTCGAGGGATAAATTCATGTGAATAGCCTTGATACGGTGATAGATCTTCGATAGAAACTAACTAAACGATAATAGAACTTGGCTGAAAACGTACCTGAATGGTATTGATGATGATTCCTGATACCAAAGAAGAACACCACCAAGAGGATCAAAGACAAGGGTCGCATGGATGCCCGTATGATATGATTCCTACAGACCGAACGCGTTGCCTGAGCAAATTCTTCAATTCTTTGATGGACTGGCATTCGGACGAACCCAAGTCATTCAGTCCGAGTACAGGATCTGTAGCTTCGTTCTTTACTCGTCTCGACCTGAATTCCTCCGAACCATAATTTCTGTCCGTACTTGGACTCTAAGGATGTTCTCGTCACCATAGCTGTGAGAAGGCAAAAAGGGGAGGCAAAAAAGAAAGACAATGATAAAGAAAATGAACACAAATCCCAGACGAGGAGGGTGGCAAACGGTAAGATGGAAGCATAAAATGTCATTCCACCGAATACGACAAAGGATGTCTATATACACGCAGTCTTTAATGCATGTATTGCTTCTTCACTAATATGCTCAGCATGAGTTACCATGAAAAAATGAAACTTATAAATGTCGAAGTTGTACATTATTTTACTAATATATCATGATGGGTTCTTATTTATCACGATTGAAACATAAATAAATAACAGAGGAACTTGTCTATATGCCTACCATTACAAAACCAAAACAGCTTCATCAAAGTCAGAAACTCATGTTTCTGCTGAGATCACATGATCATTCCTCGAATCTGCAAGGCTTTTAGTGATACCTCACGCATTGACGAGCTTTTCTTCTGATTCGGGTAAAGTCTTGATTTTCACGGGTTTCCCGAGCTTAGTCTTATCTTCCATGGCCGCGATTTCAAGGGCTTTTGCACAGACAGGAAAGCCCTGATCGTCGCAAGGATCCACTATAACGCCGGCTCCAATGCAAGTGGTGCCCATGTAGAATGCGGTAAACTGTCCAGAAGCCAGACCTTGATCGTCCTCGTCCAAGTGTACAACCCCGCTGTCTCCTCCTGCTTCCATTTCGAAATTGCAGCGGTAAAAGCCAGGCCCATGTCGGACCTGATAACCGAAAATCGAAGGTTCATGAATTGTGCACTAAGAACAAGGAAGATAACATTCATTAGACTACCATGTTCCTTACCTTGCACCTAAGCTGATTATCATAGCCTGGAAATTTGCCACTAAGCCATTTTAAGGAGCCAACACGGAAAACCCGCCTTCTCTTGTCGACTGAATAGTAATTTCTTGAGACAAAAACAACATTGTTCTTTGTATCCTTTTTAACTACATACCTGCATACAACCGGGAGGAGCACGAATGTCACAGCCAATGAACATGAACTAATAAAATGACCGTTCATGCCGTTACCCAAAACCCATAATAGTCATGCTGCATCGATAATTATAACAAGCATAATACCGGTATTAGAAGCTAGATAGACAGATTATGATGATATGATTGTGGTGAATCTGTTAGTGAACCACCTAAATATACAGAATCTCGAATATTTTGGTTGGATGCAAAAGGTTCTTCTGTTCCCGTACTACTATCTGCTCATATTTAGAATAGGATGCTGCTTCTGCCTTATTTACTATGAGCATAGGCCAGTTATTGGAGCAACCACCAGCAAGAAAAATACCAAAAATTTTGGTCCATAGTTAAGAAAGATACCATGGTCCACCAGGTAAGCGCAAGCCTTGGCGTTGTCCAATCGTGTAGAACCAAAATCCTCGATGCACACCAAGAAAACCTCCAGTTTCAGCTTCCAATATAATTCCTTCCATCTCTCCTATTTGCCTAGCAACAAACTCGCTGAACTTTATCTATCACAGGGAAGCATATTTAACAGGTCTTAGGCTTGTTTTAAGAAACCGGTTATAAACAGAAGAACAAACTTGGAGAAGTGGATTCCAGTGACAGCTCAAAATTTAAGCGGAACATATTCAAAGAATTTAGAGATTTTAGCTTCTCCATTTTCTGATCTCCGTCAGAGTAAAAGTGGATTTTAGCTTCAGGTTATAAACGGAAGAACAAACTTGGAGAAGTGGATTCCAGTGACAGCTCAAAATTTAAGTGGAACATGTTCAAAGAATTTAGAGATTTTAGCTTCTCCATTTTCTGCTCTCTGTCAGAGTAAAAGCTTGTTATAAAGGAATAATTTCAGAGCATAACATAATATTATTAAACGGTGAATTCTTCAGAACATCTAAAGAAGAACAGAATAGTTACCTTCCCGAGGAAACATATTCCTTGTGAATCTTTCCGATCTTTGTTAGGCAAATCAAGTTCCATTGCTAGTTTGCGAACTTCGTTCTGTACAGACAGGGAGAAAAGGTTTTAAAACAAGCACAGCTACCATCATTAAGAAAACAAATTGCATTCTTCTTTTTAATTTTCTGAGCTAAGGAGTAGAATTACTGTGCTAAAATCCTTCATGAATTTTCAGGCACCATGTTCCGGCAAAACAAGATTTTCAATTGCACCTTGATATCAGTTAATGTCGTGTTTTTTTTTTTGTGTAAGACAAAAAATGAGCAGAGATAGGACGAACTACCAAGTACCTTCGTTAGGCAGCCAAGTGGAAAAATCAGCCGTCTAAGCTGGGTCTGAGAGAGATGTGAAAGGAAGTAAGTCTGATCTTTTACCTAAAACAATGAAACGACGGAATTCATATAGTGGAGGAACTCAAAACCAAAATAATAGTGTACCTATCAGATACATTCCAGCAAGAAAAGAAAGGACAATGGAACTAAGTACAAACACGCATCATGGAGACATAGCATATAAAACCAAAGGAGAATCTTCATGACAAATAAGATAGTTGATATTAAATCCGACAATAAACGGAGAAATAAGTAGCAAAAACCTGACATCTCAAAATAGTTCAAAAGCTCAGAAACTTCAAACCATCTAAGGCAGAACTCTTGTTATTAAACTGTTAGAAGGGCGAATGTAGTTAAAAACAAGTATCTTGGACAAGCAAAAATGTCAGCAAAAGATGGAACTAAATCAAATTTCACAGGTCGATTTTTCAGAGAGCAGTAGAGATTCAACTTTCTCAATCATTGCAACCCCCCCCCCCCCCCCCATTTTAACTATAAAAAGCGAATGTTGTAGAGTTGTATATTTAGATTATCAGAAATACTACAATAACTAACTGATTTGATAACCCCATAGATATATCCACTGTATATGAGACTCAAGTAAGTACCATGTCTCGTGATAGCTCTAAAACAGACAATGCATCAATTTGACCTGCACGAGGATGGATGACTTTTGCATAGTGGCCTGTGGCTACAAAATCGTATTCCATACCACTAATAGCATCCATGAATGAACCTGGAAATAAATACCAATATGTGGCTTAGAAATTAAACCGAGACACAATAGCCTAAACCCTTTGACAAGGAAATGGAAATATTTCCACGGGTGAAAAATCCTGAAGAAACGAAAAACGAAAAATCACATTTAAATTACCAAATTTAATTCTTGTGTTACAGAGAACATCTGGATTAGGAGTCCGTCCACAACGGTATTCCGCAATAATGTAGGAGACCTGATTAGCATTGGAAGCATGAAGAATAAGATTTAATCGGTTGGGGGTAATAACCCGGTTTTGCATTAGCTTTCTAGACAGAAACAACCACAAAATCGTTACAACAAAGAACAGAGCAGTCTGGATGAAGAACTTACAACTTTTTCCCAGTATTCATCTGTTAGATGCACAACCTCCAAAGGCACATCAACCTTCAAAGCAACTCCCCCAGAATCAGTAAGGTACGAACTTTTACAAATAAACAAAACCCTAAGGATGATGAGCATTGAGAAAGAACAGAGAGTACTATTCACATAAAAACAGTTAAAGAACTAATAACCAGATCCAGGAAATTCTAAGTAAACATTTCAGCAGTGGACAGGAATAAAAACAAGAAAAAGAAAGAAGATGGCGCCCTAACTGAACGTTAACTATGGCAATAAGCATGTCTTCCAGATGTTTATATTCATTTTACACAGTTAACTTCAATGAACCTGAACAAAAAATGTAAGGAAACTATATGAAACCACTACTCCCCCATCATCGTTCGTTCTTTTACACGCACTCTAATCAGAAAACCTTTTCAAAATAAAATTAGAATACTCTGAAAACAAAGTGTATTCAAGGCTTTCTCTCTAATAAATCTGAGACGAGAGTTTATCAGAGGGAACAAAAAATATCACTAACACTGACCTGCTCACAGACATGCTTTGCATACTTCAAATCATCTTCCCATGGGCATTCACTCCAGAAATTCTCAAAGTCTTCCTACAGAACATAAAGCATCACAATCTGTGTTATAAGAAAAACCCAACAAAAATAAGGAGTAATAATTGAAGTGAAATCTCACATATAATCAAAATTAGTTGCTACCATAATGCCCAAAGGTAGAACCAATTGAAGAAATTTTCACAAATTTCGGACCAGCCCTAATAGTGGGAAGATTCCAACCCCCCCAAAAATCACTTATAAGTTCTGTTACGGGGACATAGATACACAACTCTCCGTTTTTTACACAACCCAAGCACTTCGTCACCTCCATTCATCAATGGATGTGAAATTCAGCTGAAAACACCAGGAAACTTTCAAAGAGACGAAGAAATCGTAGCACCTACACAATTTAGCACACCTGAAACCAGATTTTGAGGTAGAAGGCGGTGCAGGAGTGACCGGCGGCACGAAGAAGGCGGAGGGCCACACTGCTATCGACGCCGCCGCTGAGGAGGACGGCGACACGAAGACGCCTCTCGGGCATGGAACAAGACAGGTGCGGTTCGAGGCAGGTATGACTGTAGTTGCGTCCGACGACGAGCGGAGTCACCGGAGCAGAGGGAGACAGAGACAGAGAGTTCCCGATGGCGGCGACGGCGGAGAAGGAAGGGGCAAAGAGAGAAAGAGGGAAGTGAGAGAGCGCTGGGAAAGAGAAGAAGGGCTTAACGACGGAGGAGAGCATCGGTCGCAGCCGCAGAAGCGTAGGTAGTCTCATGGCATATCTCCGGGCGGTGGTACGACGCGAGCGGGGAAGAAGATTTTTAGTTGGGTTATTAGAATAAGTAATTTGCATTTTGCACAAGACATTCACAATGTCTATTATTATACGCATATATCCACATGGCATAATATCTCTTTTATCAAGATAAAAATTGAATTCAGGATTCGAAAAGTCATGAAAGATAATTTTTTGACGATAGTGTTTATATATAGAATTTTGCTTACTCGTTTCAACAATGGAATCTCGTACCGGACAAAAGATAATCCACTTCTCTACATTCAGGAAGAAAAAAAAAAGTTCCAGACAAAGGTGCACTCGGTCGGTCGGATAGTATATATCTCGTCCATAAAGGATGAATATTCATCCTATGAAATGGTCGACTAGTTCGATATGGGTATGCAGTCTGCCGTACTCGGGCGACCAGAAGGTGTATATTTGGCCGAGGTTTACTCGGTCCGGTTCTGGTCCATATATACTAAGGCTCAAATCCAGTCTGTTCTCGATGCCTCAATTGGTCCGATCCTAGACCAACCCGGATCGGACCAATTTTTAAGAAAAATTTGATTTTTCTAAAAACATTCTGATTTATTTGTTCGTCCATCCTTATTGTATGTGACCTTATAGACTAATTTGACACGAAAGTAAACTCGTAATCTAATATTGGATCACAAATCATAATTTGTGTTGGAGAAAAACAATAATACGAAAATACATATACATACCCGATAAGATGATGACTTCAATCTGATCCGATAATCTCGTCTTTAATTTATCAAAACACGTATAAAACATTAGAGAATCGGATATGACTTCAAGGCATGACGAATACTTTCCTAAAAACGTTATTCCATCCCTACCGGATAAAAAATGAGATTATAGAAATATATCAGTGAAGCGACAATGATTTCGGTTTATTATTCCGATAATCATCAAACAAAACTTGTTTAACCGAAAACAAATAAACCCTTGCGCATAGTTTTCTACAGAAAACTGTTGGTTTAGTGCTCTATGATGTACTGTTATGTGAGCTTTATTATGATACATTTGATGTATTGACACTTTCTATGGTTTTATGGATTAGTGTTTGATTCATTACGTATTTTGCATGCTTTAATATGTTATGAAATCCATGTATTGTTATGAACAATACTAAACTCCCTAGTCATGTATCATTGTGGGAATAATGATATACTAAGACTAGTATGATTTGTGATTGATGATCATATAGATGATTATAGGTATTGGATACGATCACAATCATAGGTATTCGTTGGAAAACGGAATACTAGATTGACCCACATGAGATTGTCACATGGACTAGCGTCATGACTTGAATCTCATATGGCGGTTCCATGATTGGATCCTAAGACCTGAGATATCTACGGAATCTAATATGAGGAGTTGCGTGCTTTGAATACGTCAAACGTCCTGCGTAACAAGAGGACTATAAAGGCGTGTATCACGTACGAAACGAATCATGTGCTGGATTGTAAATAGTCAAGACGGGATTTGTACCTCTCGTAAAAAAGAGAGATATCGCTGGGCCCCTCGTGTGAACGAGACTGTAGGAATGTGTGGACGCACTATAGACGAGCGTCGTCTATTTCAGACAGTCGAATTCAATGAACGAGAAAGCAGTCAAATCAGATAAGGTGGCTTGTCCATGCCTTATGTTCGACATATGATATCGTGATACAAAAGGATCATCATCCGGAATCATCTCTGGCGTTCGTAAGATCACGAATAAACTCTATTCGAGATAGGTAGTCATAGTGTCTTGCTAGAGACCGCCTATGACTTGTATATCCGGAATAGAGATTTTGGATTATACTGCTATATCGAATGAGCCTACAGGGTCATACATGCAGGGAAGGACAAATGCACGAGAGAAAACGACGAAGAACGGAGTCGGAAGGGTCCAGACCGGACGGACCGGAACGTTAAGATCGGACGGTCCGGACCCGACGGTCCAGACGCATGGTCCGTCCGTTCTGGAGACTGGAACGGACGGGCCACGTTAAGACGCAGACCGTCCGTTCTCCTGTCCGTTCTACGTGGTGGAACGGACGGTCCACATTAAGTCAGACCGTATGTTCTACATGCTAGAACGGACAGTCCAAGTGCTTTTCTGAACCGTCCGTTCTGAGTTTCGGGTTTTTCGAAAATTAGACCGAATTAGGGTTAAATCACCTTATAAGAAGGAGATTAAAACCCTAATTGATTAAGTGACTTTGGGAGTCGTCTGGTACAGAACTTGGAGAGCTTTTGGTGAGATCCAAAAGGATCCAAGAGTTTCCAAGTCTCGTTTTCTCGAAGCATCATACCGAATAGCTGATTCAGGTCCTAGCAGACAAGTTCCAACCATTGGAATCCATCCCGAGGTGTGGATATGTGTAGAGGGTGAGGTATTCTTCCTCCCTTTCGTGATCAGACGAGTTCTTCAATTGATATAGGCCCCGGATCGATTGGGATAAGCGTTCTGACGTTTCTACGATTCATAGAAGCATGGTTCTAGGGTTTCATTCAAATTTTGTTTTATATCCGCTGCGCAAACCCTAGAATCGATCTCTTAGGAATAGGATTCGATCTAGAGATCCCAGGAATTCCATCAGTGGTATCAGAGACTGGTTGCTCTGTTTTGATTTCGTAGAACCCGATCACGCACGTTTTAGGATTTGAATTGTTTGAGTCCATGTTTGCTTAGATTTCTATGCATGATTGATGATTGAATCTAGTGTAGATTGCATGTTTCATGTTGCATAGAGTGCAGGAGTTCGAGTTTTGGGTGTACAGAAGAATTCGGATCAGTTTCGGGTCTGATCGGGGCCGAGAACATCAGAGAACGTGATCTGATCACGTAGACGAACCCTAGATCGTTCGTTCTGGGTAAGCTAGACCGGACAGTCTGGGGGTGGCGGACTGCACATATCAGAACGGATTGTCCGCACTAGACCGTCTGTCTGCTACGGACCGTCTGTTCCGGTTGGTCTCAGTATGGAACGTCCGTTTTGACTTCTGAATTCGAGACCGCTCGTTCTGCCAAGCCTGGAACGTCTGTTCTGCATCCAGAACGGACGGTCTGAGGTCCAGATTCCAAAATTTTTCGTTTTCTAGGTCCGATTACGCAATCGTTGATTAATCTAATCAACTGTAACTCAAATAGACATGATTCATTCTTATGGATGGTCCATAGTGAATGAATGCATGTAACTTGATTAAGATATAGAATATGTTTGATTGAGTGGGAGCTTCGGGATTGGGAATACATAATCGAATGGATGGTCTATTCGGATTATATACAATCGTTGCACAAGAAACCGGTTAGATCTAGGAGCTCTATGAGTAAAGCACTTGTCAAGGCCTCGATCGTATGTGTCATGGGTCATACCAAAGCTGGGTGTGTCGTGCTATCTTGGTGAGGCAAGATGGAGAAATGGTGGTTCTCATAGCTTGAAAGTAGATGTTTGATCTAGGTGTGGTTTCGAAAATCTCTTATTTATGTAATGCTAAGCGTATACCTCCTATTACTAGAGCGTCTGTCAAGGCATCGATCATCCGTAACACGGGTCATGCCAAAGCTGAGCGTGCGGATTATCTTTGTGAGGCATGGTGGGAAATCGTGGTTCCCACAGCTTGAACATGGTTTACCTTAGGTTAAGTTGTCAAGTTTGACTTGAGACTTAATGGTACAGATGAGACTTAAAGGATCTAAGAGTCATATTGGATGTGATTGACATTAGATGTCTACCTAAATAGCATAAGGCTGAGTGTAACAACTCATTCTTATGTGAAATACGGATCTTAATCTCGTATAGAAAATTATTGTAGGGTTAGTTTTCTTTATGGGAATATAGCTTGTGTTTGCATCTATGTTGTCATTGATTGATGATTGACTAGCTGGTAGTAGATCATTGATAGAATCTGCATTTGTTTTTGTTTGTTCTGCTTTGTTTTTTTTTCTGTAGGACATGGCGTCAATCGGTAGCGTACCGAGTTTGACAATGCGATCTATCCTTGAGAAGGATAAGCTGACCGGGACGAACTTCTTGGACTGGTGTCGTAACTTGAGAATAGTTCTCAAGCATGATAAGAAGTCGTACGTCCTAGAAGGGGCTCTACCACCAGAGCATGCGGCCAATGCCACGAGAGCTGTCAAGGATGCTTGGTTGAAGCATCAGACTGACGATAATGAGATCTCCTGCCTCATGTTGGGAAGCATGACCCCGAATCTGCAGAGACAGTTTGAGGGGAAGAGCGTCGACAGTT